CAAGTAACAGATGTTTATGAGTTTTATGCGCACATTTACGTAGTCTTAGTTGAGTAAGAAATTCGCGTGTATGCCACGATATTGATTTGAATAACGCGCAATTATAATACTCTTAGAAATTCGCCAGGAACACGACGTATTTGCCGTGATATCGTGGTGATTATCGTGTAATTTCTAATTTGTTTTTCAAAATCCCTGGAAAAATCACGTTTTCTCCGCGATGTCGATGACAAACCCGCCATTGCTGAGAATTAAACGAAACCGTTGGTTAAATCCCGTAATTTTCGCGGCTGAAACTCACCAGCTGTAACTTCAATTAAACATTGGACTGACAAAAGTAACACATCTTTATGAAAATAACCAACTTTTGATTGGGTATTGTTGATTATTATAATGATCATATGAGCTTACTGCAGAACAGACCAAAATAGCAGCTTTAATCAGCATACTACTAAGCTCTGCATTTTTATCAAACCAGTGCGTCTCGCCAATTTTGAAAAGTAAAAAATAATTCAGAAACACAATTAGTAACTGATCACTAATCACAGTGATTGCTGATGGTGGGGGTTTTCCTGTGCGTAGAACGGGTTTCCTGCTAGTGATATATAAATGAAGTAGAGGCCTGTGGCCGCTACACCGCCGCCAATCACCGAAAAATAAAACCCAAAAAACCGTAGAACAACCATGTTCAAGTTATTTCAGAGATGCATGGGTTCAAAAGCCGAGGGTTAAATTGCACGCGGAAGAAAGCGTATTTATCTCTGATTGCAATTTTATGCATAACTTTTTTAAGTCCAATTTTCAATACTGTTATTAAAGCGCTACGCACAGTTTTTCTGAAGAGGTCCCACGAATTTTCCTTGATGATCTCAAGTGTAAGCATTGACAATTTCGACACGATATTTTCGTCGATTCTATTTTCTTTTTAAGTGCTATAAAAGAATTACATATTATGCGAGTTTCTAAATCGATACAATTAACATACATATTTACCCTTTAATTGTGGTAAAAACCGGGCAGGGACGTTCAAAAGAAATGACGAGCGGTCCTAGTTTTACGGCGATTATAGCGTCGCGCAAGCCAGGAAAGGGAGCGCGGTCGGGTGTCGAATCATCTTCACAGTGTGATGCGCCTTCAATCCAGCTAGCAGCAATATGCTTATACTCGTAGTCGATTAGTTATCGCAAATAACTTTCACATTGCGTTCGGTGAAATGCGAGAAGTATTCATGCAGTCTTGTAGGCGCTAACTTGCGTTGGAAGTCGACCGCACTGTTTGACGCAATGCGTGAAGTATTCCTGCAGTCTTACAGGCACTGATATGAGGTTGACATCGACCGCACCGAGTTGGGCGCGATTATTCGAACTCGCTTTAAGATAATCGCAGCATCTAACAATGGGTTTTAAAAGGCCCAGTTGTGTTTCCGCACTGTATGCTGCGGTCTATCCTCCTTTTTTTTCTCTCATCGAGAAGTAATTTTTAAATCGCCGTAATTCTCGGGAGGCAAATGTATTTTCTAAATCTTCCATTACCATTTCTGCAATAAAAACAAGGACACTTAATAAGAGACCCACACCCAGGATAAAAAACGGTAGCTGCAAATCGTTCAAACTGTACGCCCGTGGATCCTCGTCATCCAGAGGCAGTGGCGCAGCCTTCGGCGCGTTCGCAAGTTCTATCGAAGCGAAAGCATTGCTCGAATGTCCGTACTCGAGAAATCGCGCTGTCATTTGTTTATACGCGTCGAACAAAAACGAATTTTTAAGGAACGCGTCGAAGGAAGGATGATCCTTCAAACACTCCGCGACTAGATGGTACTCAAATTTGTCTTGGAGCGGCCATTTACTCATAACAATGCGGCTCCCTGAACGAAGAGATCGCGGAACGGCAGCTAAAAACGCATCCGTCTCCATAATCGCGCGCACATTTTTAGCGAAACCCTCCGGCACAATAGCCGTAAAAGAAGGGAGATCAGCCTGATTTTCAATGGAGTTTCGAGAAATCATAACTTTGAAGATCAGTTTACCTTGCTCCATGTCGAACAACGTCATATAGAGGTTCAAATTGGAGGAGAGCTTAGCCCTCATTTTATCAGACAGACCGAGTTGAGCGAAATACACGGCTGCTGATTCAACGTCAGGTACCTGGATGAACAGATCGGAGTTTTCCAAATTCTGCAGCGTGTCGATCTCCGGGTACTGTACCGCGCTCGTTAGAAGCGTGGTCATGCCGCCCAGAAAAACGGTCGAGATGATAAGCGCCGAAAAAACGAAAATAAAAAACAATAATTTGCCGTAACAACAATAATTAGTCTCGCTCTCGGCTTTTGACTCGCGGATCGCGCTCACAATAAGTTCCGAGATACTTTTTGAAAATGTGTTGGGCAGGGAGCTGACACAACTTCGGAAGGTTTTCGCAAAAATTGAGCGCATTTCAATCAAAACGGAATACATTTAAAACTATGCAATTTTTCCATTACCTCCGTAGTTCGCAAACGACCGATCGGTCGAAGATTTGTGAATATTCTGCATCCTTGGGGCAAAGAGATTGACTTGTCAAAAATACTCTATTATTACGCAAAACTAATTGTTCTTTTAAAACGATAGCATATGTTTGAAAGAGTGCCTTTCTCTTGCTCCTATTGCATTGATACTGTAATATTATCCTTTGCTGCATCCCAAAATTGGGATATTTATGGACGAACCACGCGATGCGCGGTATACAATAACCAACACTGCCCGTGAAATTCATTTACATTACATCATTTACATTCATTTACATCAAGTTACATTTTGCAATATAGAACCACTTTCTGCCTCATTTAAGAAACGACGTAATTGCGACTAGTATCTGCTTTGCACTTACGTGCATTTATAGATGAGCAAAAAATGGTAGTTCCTTATTATGAAATGTAGTATATTTGCCATTCAGTGTGTATAGTTTATCTACTGACTGAAACTCTGCAACTGTTCATAAATAGCCCCTGCAATACAAATTTTTGGTCGTGAGATTTGACTTGCAAGAATATTTCACGCGATTTCTGTCTTCAACCCAGTGCATATCAATAAATAAACACATCAGTTTTGCTCTTTCCCTCCTTTCGTTTTCTTGCAATGTTTTTGCATTTACTCTATCAACATCAATAAGTGATATCAATCTTGTCTGAACAAATCTAAAGTCACTTCACTAAAGACAGTGATAAATATAAGCTGATAAGTAAGTAGCATACCCCTATAGCTAGTATAGATCGAAAAATATGATATGAGACTAGTGAGACCGTCAAACCTGAAAGTAAATAAAATCCACGTGTTCTCAAAATGATCTTGGGAGTGATATTATCCTTTGAGCTGTTTTTATCCAGTGCTGAAGCTGGGGTAAGAATATTTTCCGTCCACTGAAAGCAAACACTAATTAAATTTAACAAAACTGCGTTTGCGTAAATAACACGAACTGATGCTACACAGGACATTGCGGGTTTCCTTTGTAAAAATTTAAGTTTTATTGTGACTACGTGCGAGATTTCTATTCCTTTGAAAATAATGGTCCGAAATTTGCGAATTTTAAAGGGACAGCATTCGTGTCAGTTTGTCAAAATATGCGTGGGCAAGTTTTTAATGAAAAAACAGGTGTTGAATCCGTTGAATCGTAAGTAAGCAACCTCTCATCATCCACTTATTAAGTTTCAAAGGTCTCACTCAGCTTTCAAGGTATTTTTGATCATTTAAAATATTTGCAGGGCCATTTCATCATCGTGCTCTACAACAGTGGTTTAAATTTTTCAAGGAATCCGACAACTGCGTTCATTCTACAAATTTTAAGCATTTCGCAATTACGTATTCGGCTCATTTCATGAACTTATTTGATTTACAAAAAATGTGAATTTTACTTGATAAGGCTATTTATTTAAATATTGCTATTTAAATAGAATTGCAAATACACTTGATGGAAATTATCGGTTCATCAAATAAAAATGCTGTTTTTGATGTAATCTCAAATAAGCTCATTATTTTTTTACAGGCAATAGTGTCGCCTGAGGTCAGTCCAAAGGCTGCTCTAAAAAGTTTGGATAAGCTACTAGATGAACTCAAAATCCTGGAGGAAGGTCGGCAAGAAGGCTTAAAAAATGCGACTGGAAACCCAAAATATAAAACGGACCCTCGAATGGTTGAATTTCTATCTGCCTTATCGCTGGTAGATTCCCTCTTTGTGGTATATCACAAATACTATAACGCGATCAACACATTGATCCACTCGGATGAGAAGTCAGCGGCCGCTCATGAGGTGAGAATAAAGACCATACTTCATAATGAGACCGATTAAATAAGGAATCAAGATCTTGGAGGAAGGAATGGTCCATTTGCAATTTTGAATTAAAATACACCTCTTATAAAAATGCATATGGAACGTATACCATAATTGGGTCATTTTTTCGATTCGAGGTAACATCACTCGTTTGTTGCGGATAGAAGTACAATTTCGATTTGATGTTTACTATTTCATTTTGTTAATCATTTCCTAAAAAACTGACAACTGTTTCTAATATTTAAAAAATGATGAAAAACTATAAATTAATAAATGAACATATTAAAGTAAATCTGAAGTTCAGATAGAGACATGCTAAATATGTCCGATACTGGAAACAGAAATCTGTGATTATTGGCCCTTTCTCTCCTCAGAAATTATCTCTCTGAAAATGGTTTAACTAACTGTTTGACAGACGAATTACCGAAAAATTTCCAACCAAAAAATGTTCGATTAAGTTGAAGCTGTAGTGGGTGTTTCAAGGTTTAAATATTGTTTTGTTGAAACCACTGTTTCAATAGGAAGAGGTCTGTGTCACAAAAGTTGACTCAAATCATTCTCTGCGAGCGTTCGCTTTTCATCTTTGATTTTAAATCTTAAAAATAATTATTATTTTTTACAGGCATTAGCAACCATCAAAACATCAAGACAGCAATCCATCCAACTTGCTAAGGTCATACAGACAAGAGCAGGGAATTTTAAGCTCGATTCGCCCGGTTTAAGCGCAGACAAAAACTTGAACTTCTTACAAACCGTATTTGAGGCCACTCACTTGAAAAACGAGGAAATTGAGGCTCAACTTCGCACGGACTTCTACAGCTCACCATTTACAAAGTATATGACTGATATGCCAGTTATGCCTGATGTGTCCGACATTTCATAAAATGATGCCCTCTTTCACATTAATTCACATGTAGGTTTACGAACGAATCTCTTTTTTTACAACTTTCAATCTAGACATACTTGTTTCTGTTTAAATGCATCCAATCTTGATCAGTTGATTTTGATAGTTCTTAGTAAAGGAGGCTAAACACTAAAATTAGGCTTACATTAATTGTTGTATCAGTTGATTTAATTTTTCAGGGAAGACCAGAGCTGCAGAGACTTTTTAAATTTTAGGGAATCGATTGGCTTGATTTTAACAGAAGGGGACCAGCTCAATTGCGGTGTTTTCAACATCGTGCAATCTTTACTTTGCTTTGAGAAAAACTAAAAAATATGTATAATGATAATACAGTTTAAACCATCGGGTTTTTTCTTAAAAACTAACTGTGTTTTGGTAGGAAAAAAAAACTATTTTTTATTCCAGGCATTTTTTGTAGATAAACATGAATCTGGATGATTTTGAAAATCACTGTAATCGAGCCGATTCACGTCTATTAAATACGATCCAAATCTGTGGCTGAACAAAATCTGAAATTTTTGAGCTAACTTGTCGGATGAATCAGATGGCTTGATTAAAAAATGTAGCCTACATCTAAAGCCTGCCCACTGTACTCTCCTCCAATTTTTTGGCCTCGGAAAGACTTTTTTATGTTTTTCCTTCTCCATTATCAATGTAATCAAATGTTACCTCAGGACTGCAACGAGATGATAAGAGAGCACTCCCACAATTTAGTGCAGATTGATTTGTGTAATTTGGAGCCAGTATTGAGAGTGACTTGAAACGAGTCACTGAAAGCTCAATTCGCGTGTCCTCAAAATGATTTTTTTAGTGATATTTTGCGCTGCGACAGTTCTTACCGGTACTGATGCAAAGGTGAGTACACTATTGCATTGACCGATTCTGATTGCATCTATTTTTAAGGTATTCCAAGGTACTACGAAACGTTCAGCGTGGAATCCGTTATTGTATATTAATTGTACATTGACTAGCTAATGTATACAATAGCTAAGATGATCCGTGAAAGTACATAAGTTTCTAACGTTACGTACTTTAACTATTTATTCTATTAAGTAACGAAGGGCTCGTAGATAAAGTGCATAACCTTCTAAAAATAAATAATTAACGACGTTATTTGACACGAGAGGGGCGCAAGAGGTATGTATAGTCCAGCTAATACGAAAAATTGGCTTATTTTATGTGAAGAGAATGTTTTTCCTTTTAAAAGCTTAGTTATTTTGTTTATAGGTAAGACGGACCGCTGTGAGTCGAAAAGCTGCCCCCAAAAGCGCAGGTCAGTTGATGAGCGAGCTTCAGGTCTTAGAGAAGATTCGCCAAGACTCTTTGAAAAAAGCTTTCGGAAATCCAAAATACAAAGCAGATCCCCGCATGATGGAAAATCTTTCCGTCCTTTCTCTAGTCGACTCTCTTTTTCTTGAGTACCACAATTACTACAACGCAATGAACAAGTTGATTCGCTCCGATGAAGAATCGACGGCTGCTCACCAGGTAACTCATTTGATTCTAACGAAACAATTCCCTGCGGCCTGCGGTGGCGAGGCGTAAATGGTCGATTATCGATATTTCCCTCATTTGAAGCTATGGTGAAGAATCTATTATTAAGGTGTTCGTTTTGCAAGCATCTTGTCAATCGATTCTTCTCCATAGGTTTAAATGGAGATCAATCGATACATCGCAAAGCACGCCACGCCACTGATTTCCTGATATATGAACTTATCTGGAAAACTATTATATAGATAATGAGGAAAACCTGAATACAAAATAAATTAGCGAACATACATTTAATTTATCTATTCTAATTTGGACCGTATTAAGCAGAAAGGAACCAAGCCACATCAGCTATTGCTAAATTTAATTGGACAATTTAATTTGTACATAAAAACAGTTGTGTTGATTTTTCATGCAAATTTCAGTAAATTTTTTGCATAGAACGAGGCAACTTCCGAAAAATTTTCAAAAAAATCCGCACAAAAGTTCCTTCGTAAATAATTAAATTGTTCAGTTAAATTTAGCAATTGCTGAAATGGTTTGATTCTCTCTGCTAAACATGGTCCATTTTAAAAAAGTGAAATCTGTTCCAGGCTTTGACTACCATCAAGAGCTCCAGGGAACGTTTAATAAAACTGTATAAAGCCGTGACAGAGAAGGGAGGAAAACTCCAGAAACCCAATGTTAGCACGGACAACCAAATGAACTTGTTAGAGACCGTATTTGGCAAGACTCTCAAGAAGAACGACGAAATTGAGGCAGAACTTCGCGTTGAATTTGAAAAATCTCCGTTTATAAACCATATGAAAAATATGCCGAATCTACCGAACGAGTCTCCGTTTTAATTCAATCCACCTACACTCTCTTCCCCTCTACTCCTCGCTCCTCGCTCCTCTCTTCTTTCTCCGTCTCTTTCCCTCCACTTCTTATGTGCGTAAACCCATTTGTGTTTACATGTATATAGTGCTGATTGTCGTTTATTGTGAAAAATATACATTATGCTATAAAAATTCAAATTTATCAATCACACTTCGACTATATGAGAGCTCGTTTTGCCTACACTTAATATTGAAGGCAAACTGACATGACGTTAAGGTAACCTCTTCTCGCGGTAAAAAGCTAATTTTTGTGCATGTTCGAAATGAGTCCGACGCACAGAAAAAAAAGTAGGGGTTAAGTCCCAACTTAGACATTTCCAATTATTTATGGTGTATCCCACTAAATTAGGTCACTAACACAAATGTTGCGGTACCATTTTGATTGACAGTTTGAGTGATTTTTCTTACGCACTGCCGAGAAAATAGACGTAATTCTGCCAAACGGAACTATGTACATTCAGACATGAGCCCTGAAACCCATAAGAATATATTCATAACAGGGGTCCCTTCATAGTGCACATAGGCAGAAACAAGCAGTTCCAACGCCAAAGCGTTGGAGGGCGCTTCTTTAACACTGCGCATGCGAGGAACGTTTTCATACGGCCAAGCGAGAGTATTGCGGACGGACGATGTATAACAAATTGCCTACGTGAAGGTGGTCCGGCAGCAACATACCCGCCGCTAGTCTCTGGAAAACAATAGAAAATAGTAGTTGCGTACGTTGCCAGCGAGCGCGCTGCGAGCGCATCTGTTTCAATTACCTAGCATCGAGTCGGGCCTTTAACTTTCTATTCTCTCTGACATAACCTTAAACCTTCAACCCAGAGCCGCAAACAGCTGACTCTTGACGATCAACTTAACGATGCTGCGCCGAGAAAATGAACCAATCACAAAATAGCACAGTAATACGTCACTATAATGAAGAGATCACGTGACTGTTCGTGATTTTTTCGAATCAATCTGAAACTACAACCTCGAATATGAGGCATTTAAGCATAACGAAGCCCCAAAATAGTTTAACCAGGTAATACGTCCGTGCGAGATTGTTATGCTTAAAAGCAAAACATTTCACGAAAACTTTTACGAATACCAGATGCAGAAGAAAATCAAATTTTCCCGGGTGTACCAGAATGGCGTCATTACCCATAAGGCAAAACGGTATGTAGTATAGTACATGTTACATCGGGGGAGTCGAACGGCGGGAAAGGGCGCATCTGGTACCCAGAAGCGCCCAATACGTCCAAATATCGTATCGGTGAGCCATAAATTTTGACCAGAAAGTTGGAATACAACGGATTGATACAACGGAAAATTTTCACTTCACGTAAATTTCTGAGTTGGTAAATGGTCATAAAAGTAGCTTACTACTTATATGACGAGAGTGTGGACATATCGAAGTGTGGACCTCATAGGGCCTAAAAGGGCAGCTAACCTTCTAGCACAAAAAATGTCTTTGCCAATCTTCAGATTCCAATATCAAAGCAAGGTTAACAAAGAATATTCATAAATGAGGGTTTTTCCGTAACAATGAGTCAAATACGTGCTATGCAAACGATGGGTCGTAACAATTGCGATAATAATTCACTCTGAATAATTTAAATTCATAGGTCAATAAAATCCACTTTTCCACTTCTCAAAATCGACGGTGAAAGTCGGCAATCACATATCTCGGTTTGGACGTGGCACACGTCCTGCCATACTTTATTTTTTAAACGGTAACCTACTCAACGCCAATTCTTTTAAACTATCTTGATTTTTCTTCTCTGTGCGAAGAAAATTCTGCAAAAACTTCAAGGAATGATGTCAATTTGTTCTCCTTTACAAAAATAACGTAGAGGCAGAGATTTTCAGACATCGCAAACGAGTTATGCGATTGCCGACTTACACCGTCGAAATGCAGCTTTCTAGAGCACACCCTATCTTCCCCACCCGTCTATACTTCCGTTTGGCAGAAATACGTCCAAGTGGCTGCCCTTGTTGGGCCCTGAAAGCTCCGTAATCCAACCTCAAAATTACTGACATATCCATACCCTGGTAAAAATTGGCGATAAGAGCTGCGTTTCAAAATACCATAGAAGTTCTTATAGTCGGCTAAAGAAGGCTACAGAAAATCATATAGCTGGCTGTAGAATGCGGAGAAAATCATACGGCCGGGCTATACGAAGCGATGAAAAATTATGCAGCCGGGCTATAGTTCCTATCGCCGCGCTTTACACTTTATCGCCTGGCTGTTGCTTTTTCGCCTTCGATTATAAAAGGCTATAAGAAATTGTGTAGAAATGCGTGTGCTTTGGAAATCATTCCGTTTGATACGGAACCACCTTAACATTTACAAAACAAACGTTATATTTTCCTTTAATACATATTTTTTTTCATCAATTAAAATGAGAATTATCCATACAGGATGTGCAAACATTTCAAAATCATGAGTTGAATAACGCTGACTCCGCCAGATTAAATATTAGAGCCTAACACAAAGAGGAGCGGCGACGCACTGGCGCCTAGAAACCTAACAGGGATACTTCACGCATTGCGCAACGCGTGAAGTATCCGTGTTAGGTTCGTAGGCGCCAATCCGTGTTTCGCGCTGGCTGCTCGCCTGCCACGGCGCTTGAAGCAACTATTTCACATCAGAGGTATTGCACAGTATCTTACGAAACTGAAGGCGCTCTAATATAGTAATGGCAAGCATCCATCAAAAGTACGGAGCTTTCCTCGCAAAATAAATCAAGATACTACGGCCCAAAAAGAGAGCAGTATTCCAAAAACTCACTAAGTCCTAGCACACAGATTCTACTGCCAATTTTTACCAGGGTACTCTCCGTTACTCAGGTACTCTAGGTAAAGGGATTTGATAGGATCTCAAAATCGCATCGGTGAAATCCCTTCGAAATCTGGCATCGGCGCCGTAAACTGTCTATCCCGACAACGCGGGTCATGTCCGTGGAATATCGCGGTGATCTAAAACAAGAGGGATATGCAAATTACTCAATCAGTCAACCAACAGGACCGCAGAGGGGGTGCGGGGGCGTAGCTGTGGGTGGTGGGACCCAATCCTTACTCAAGCGTAGCGACTCGGAGCCGTGGAGACAATTTTCTTATTCTTTTTTTTTTCCCTCCGAGTCATGCTCCGGTCGTGTCCACGATTCCCTCGGATCTATCATACGAGGATCAGGAGTGCCAACCGCGCTCTTTCGCCAACACCGAGTTCTTTGTCATGTTTGATGCACCTGCGGGACACCCTGAGAAGAGAAACAGCACTCATAAAGGTGGTACATACAGTCAGAAAAAGTAACCGAAATTGGGGTTAATATGGGAGGAGAACACAAAGTAACCTGAACGCCTGGTTATTTTTCGGTTAGTATTGGAGATGTTGCATGTGTGAGGAATTTGCGATTTGACCATTGATTCTTATGTAAAAGTTCGCGAGAAACACGATGGTACCACTGGTTTTCTCTGAAATCAACTCCCAAGCTCAAAAAAAGCTCTCAAGTTGAGGTCAAAATGGAGGAGATATCCCACGCTATCCTGAGATTCCACCTCTACATCAAGACAAACTCTCCATGCAAAGATAGGGAGCAAATACATTAGCAGGGTTGCCGCTTCTTCAGTTGTGGAGTTCCCAAATAAAGTGGCAGCCCTGTCAATGTATTTATCTTTGCATGGAGAGTTTGTCTTGATGTAGAGGTGGACTCTCCGAATAGCGTGGGATATCCCCTCCATTTCGGCCTCAACTTGTTTCATACGTTAGTGCGCCTTCAATTACATTTGATACCGTGCAATACTTTCGTGGTGGAATAGTTGCATTAGCGCCTACAAACCTAACAGGGATACTTCACTCATTGCGCAATGCATGCAGTATCCCTGTTAGGTTTGTAGGCGCTAATGCAACTATTCCACCACGAAAGTATTGCACAGTATCCAATGTAATTGAAGGCGCATTAGTGTATGAAAATTTACTATTACGGTCAACCACTGTTTGCCAAGTGGTAACTTCACGCCGACTAAAACATTTTAAAGGGTCCAAATTTTCAAAAAGGATACTCATGGTATAATCACCGTGTTTTAGCGCACTTTTTCGACGGCTCCTGAGTTTTTTTTTAGGTCTAGAGAGATGATATTGAAATAAGTCGAAATTCATGATTTTCCTCAGAAAAATGGCAGCTTCGCAGCTTGTCAAAATTATCAGAAGAGGAGCATTGGGAGCATCTAAGCTACTAATTTCACACTCTGATTACAATTTAGGCATCTGTAACGTTAATTTGTCGAGAGGCAAAAATCATCAAAAACAGTCAAAAATTCGCTATTTTCATGCGTAAAACTAAGAACAAATAAACGGAGACGGCTTCATTGCCGCTGACGTCACTGGCGCTTTATAATTCCCATTCATTCTTACGGCTCTCGACTGACGAGCACTCCCCTTCTTTCCCACCTGTCTCTGGTTCCGATCGGTAGAAATATGTCCAAATGATGAAAAGTCCTGAATTTTCAGCACTATCCGGCAAAAATACTCCAAACTCTTTCTTGGAGCTGTTGTGAGTCCAGGGTCTCGTAACAAAGGGGTCTACTCATATAAATTCTCCAACTTTAGTGTCCCCGTGCTGCCCTACCAAATTTACCCGAGATGATACCGAGATAGGGACTGTAAATTAACCGCTGAAAACGCCAAGTGCCTCCAGTTGACCACAGCCACGGAGAGGTTAAAAATAAGGGTTCTTTCTTGGTTCGGAGAGAGGGGATGATTTTATGACTCCGCCATCAAGTCACTCGATTTCAAGTACCTTTTAATCTTGTCCTTTGATTAAACTCCTCCCGGGTCTTCGGGGAGACGATATTTAGAAGGTTTTGAGAATAAAGTTCACCTAAAAATTATGGTAATTTTCTTCATGTAAATAGTGCTAGCCATTGTTAGCGGAGTTTTACAGTTTTGATATTTTTTTAGGCAATGAAAAGACTATTTTAAGGAGGACAGCTCAATTACTCGGTCTACTGCACTGGAAAAAAACACATTGGATCTAGAGTCCAGACTCTTGAAAACACTGACGAGAAAAAATACCCTTGATTCAATCGGATTTTTGCTTGAATCAAAACGAAATCCGCTGAAATTAAGAGGCTTGGTTCTTGATTTAAGCTAGATT